AATAGGTAGATAAAAATGCCAAATCCAGTCTAAACATCTGGCTGTCTGTGTGACCAGCAACAATAATTTGATCACAAATACATAGATAACTTCAGTTAGTTCAGATATAGGAACTCAGGGTTCCTCACAGAGGCTGTACCCTGGACAAATCCTTAGGCAGTTAGTTCAGATATAGGAAAGGGCCACAATAGTGCTGACATATTTCTTGTCCCAATTAGATTTAGGGTTCATCCACACAGCCACTTTGCTATGTTTTATCTCAGAGTCAGGAGGAAACCACATGGACATCAATCATGCTGCTTTTACAGCATGCCCTTACAACACATCTAGAAGAGGGCCATGTTGCACTGCTGTGTAGCTCCTCTGTATGACACAGTGAGGTCAGTGATTGGATGTTTTCCCTGGCTGAAATTCTAATGTCACCAACCTTGGGAGAAACTTCCACCAACCACTGTATAGAATGTGTGCCAGGTGGTGCTTGCAAAGCCCCGATACAGTAGTCTGCTCCATCATTTTTATGTTTTTCCCCCCAAAGGACTGTCAAGCTATGTACCTGTCAAGCTATCTATGACCACTAGGTGGCCACAAAGAGTTTGTGTCTCTTAACCACAATGTAGTGGTCACCTGGATTTGTGCAGCCCAGATATACAGGTTCTTGGAAACAGAATTCAAGAAAGGGGCTTTGGTATATATGAGTTATTTTCACCCGTAAGGTGTTCTTTATACATCCACCCAGTTTTTCAGAATGATTGAGCTCTCAACTAGTCAACTTATCGGCCATTAGGAGGCAGCAAACAGCATGTCTGTCTCTCAGGCTCCCATCTAGTGGCCATCCAGATTCAGATTGCTGAGATACAGCCACTGGGAAAGTATTGTTGAAGAGTTACTGTTGGAGAAATCAGTTTACTGATTCTTGTGCTAAATCATAACATACATTCAACTTCAATCCTCAAAGGTTAGGAGTGGGGAAAAGTTGATTATATGTTAAAGCCATCAATGCTGTTTCTTTGGACTGGCATCAGCTTGCCTCAACAGTGGGTTGCATATGAGATGGAAGCTGTTGCCTGTCCTCAGCAAATGGCAGAAGTGGGGCATCTTTGTGCCACAGTAAGCAGGCTGTGTTGAAGAGCCCTTAAATTAGTGCTGAGACAGCAAAATAGATGGCCCAGCTTCTTTATGGCCAGAGATTCCTTGCCATTTGTTAAGAGACTGGCAAAACATTTCACATGGATATTGGCATTACAATTATCCACAACCTGAAGAAAGCTTCAGCTATATACTTGGTTATATCTCTCAACTCCCTGCTGTTCCTTCCTTATACAGTTTTGCAGTTTCAAGTTTCATAATGATGTTCTTATAAATATAAGCATTAGGTTGTCCAAATGCTTCAAAGAACCCTAGACTATCTAGATAAGAGAAACTTCACTGTGTGCAAACTGTAACCCAAACAGTTTTTTTTCTAACCATTCAGTCGCATCTGATTCTCAGAGACTGCTTGGACAAGTCACTGCAGTTTTCTTGGCAAGGTTCTTTCAGAAGTGGTTTGCCATTGCCTCCTTCCTAGGGCTAAGAGAATGTGACTGGCCCAAGGTCACCCAGCTGGCTTTGTGCCTAAGGCGGGACTAGGACTCATGGTCTCCCAGTTTCTAGCCTGATGCCTTAATCCCTATACCAAACTGGCTTTCAACCATAAGAGGATATAAAATGCAAAAAATGTGTTATCACAATAACCTAAAACACACCCAAACTGATTACAACTATGATGGACGTTTCCATGCTTCAATCTCTCATGAATACTTATTTGTTGAGGTTGGTACTTGAGATACTTTGTGTGCCCCTAAAGAAATGTATTTCTTTATTTGTAGGCAAGTCTTCCTGATTTATAAATTTATAAAGCACCAGCTCACCAACAAATATGTCTTCAAAAGAAAGGAGATTTTCCATTTCCAAAGCCCGAGTGAGCTGGTAATGAGATTGAGCCAGTATTGCTATAACATAATTATACCAAGAAGCAATTTACTATTTAGAGTTAACATTTCCTCTTCAATATTGCAACCCATAAGTTATTGTTCTGTATTCAGAAGAACAGGACAAATAAGCTGAAACCAAACTATTTCTGCAATTCAGAAAAAAAGTTTAAGCCATGCAGTCCTCCTCTTACCTGGATGTAAATTGATGGATACTGGAATGCAAAAAAAGAAAAAGCAAGAAAGAACATTGTTAGATATATAAGCCATTTTTTGGGCATTTTGTGTTACTCATTATTTATATTGATATTTTTAAATCATCTTGCCACCTAGAGTTGCTTTGTGAGACAGGTGGCTATAAATAAGTAAATAAATAAATATATAAGCCACAAAAGAACGTTATCTGCAGGTTTTAAGGCTCCAGGTAGTTGACTCTCAGTTGCTCTTACCATTTGGTTCACTGGCTTGAAATCAGGATTCAGAGCAACAACTCTAAACAAAACTGGAAGAATTAAAAAAAAATCATTTGCATTTTCTTTATTTTACTGAGGTTAAAAAAATCAGATTTCTCTATAATTTTAACTGACAGCAATATCCACCAAACATTTCATTTCTAGCTATTAACTGATAAATAATGGAAAAGATTATCAAAGTCTATACAGAATTTTGGACTGAACTCCCAAAGTCATAATTTTAATATTAAAATGTGTATGTTATTACAAACTGAAGCTATGAATCATTACAGCAGCACCTATGGCCAGGCCAAAGGAAGAACCACCCATGGATTTCTTTAATTGGTTCATGAGCAGGCAGAACCAGTGCATTTTAATGTGCACTGAAAACATACATGTCAAGTCTTCTGATTTGCTAAGGACGTACAATTATTTACACATGCTCCTGTGCTAAGGCAACTATCTCACATGGAAGTGATTTGGGGTTTAGCTCCTCTCCAGCAGTCTTTTACTGAAGAGAGAGTGAAATGAGTTGATCCCACCAACAGACGCTGCAAGAACTTGCTCTGGGCTTAGGGACTGATGGCCCTGAAATACTCTAACATATCTGGCCAAGGGTGTTGTGAAGCTGCCTCTTTCCATCATTCATGGTAGAGGTTTGTACTGGATTGGAACTGTACCTTAGACCAATTTCTCTTCCCACCTGAGCCCTGGACTTAAAGTTGTATGTTTTCACTCTCCTTAAAATATTTTGGGTTTTGGCCCCCATCCCAGTCCTGCCCTTTGGGCCTCAGGGAATTAAACAAAAAACCACTTTTTTCTCCTTAGACTAATTTTCCCTTCAGGTGCCTGAGGACTTGGGCCTGCACACTGCTACCAGCATCTGGAGAAGAAATAAAAGCAGTACCTTTGTAGCTGGGTCAGACATGGCTTTTCTGAATAATATGTGGACTTAGGCTCATGTTTAAAAATAATATTTGCCTGAACATTCAAACCTTCTCCCTGCCCCATTTTTAGTCCTCAGAGAGGCTGCAAGCAGACACCTACTTTATCAAGAAGAGAAGAGGTTAGAATTGTAATTTCATTTACAATTTACAGAGCCTCCACGCTTGCAAGACCACAGAGATAATATTTGCTGACAGCGTTTGCTCACTAGAGAAAGTTGGCCGTTCTATCTGATTGAGAAGTGACTCTTTCTAACACTTTAGCAGTGCATTCTTCACATACCTTTCTGGCTAGGTTTGTAGGCAGACTTATCTGTTTGGACAAAGACAGTAGTGCTTATATTCCGAATGGCCACAGATCTCCTTTCATGGAAGCTGACAGAGGAACCCTGGGCAGAAAGCACTATGAAAGCTAGTGGATTAGAAACTGCTGGAGGAACCTGTACAAAGAAAATATTTAAGAAAGAAAGGGTTAAGAAGAGCTATCAACTTTTTGTTTTCATCCTAGAAATGAACAGAAAGTGGCTCTGGACTCAGCTAATAGGCCTGGGTTTTGTGTATTTCAATATTTGAACAGTAGGCAATCTTCCTGATTGGGTCCTTGCTGGAATACATAGAACATAAGCTCAGTCAATACATAGAACATAAGCTAGGACAGAAAATGGGAGAACTTCATGGGTTCAGTCAAGTTCTCCCTTCTTACATGGCCCAGACCAGGCCACATATACACTTACATTAAAGTAAAATAATACTGCAGAGGTTCTGCTGCACAGTGCATGTTTTTGCTCTGAGACACACGTGGGTGGGGTGCCACTGAGTAGCAGAAAGTATGTTAACCACTAAACCTGGGATAAATAGTACTACAGTATTCCAGCCAAATAGGATGAGCTATAAAATCAGTTCTCCACCCCACCTTTTTTATTAGCTCCTTTTCTTCTTTCACTCAATGACAATGCAGAATACTGTAATAAGGTAGAATAAAGATTTTGTACCATGAAAGTGATACAGTGGGAAAAGGAGTTTTCCTCCACTGTCCTCTTCCAAAGAGGATAGCTGTCTATGTTGTACTCCATTGTAATGTTCACAGAAATTGGTTCATTGATGTTCAGGAACTGTACACAGGCCTCATTTGAAGAGTTGCTCTGTACTACTGCAGGTACTAACAGGACATACTGTCTGTAATCAAAATAAAATCAATTATTAATTAATTGATTCAAGTCAGTCACTACTAAAATATGTCTAATGAGTTGAGGAAAACTGCATATTAGTTAGATTTGCTTGTTAGGGCAAATCTCCCCTTTGGCACCTCATCTCATTCCAGATATATTGATTCTGACCTTGTTATTTGCACCTTCTCTAGGGGCAAAAGACATAAACACCAACTTCTATAAACTTATGAAACAAACAGAAATTAAATATGACATTGGGAATAATACACCTCAAATGAAAGTAGCAGCTTGATTATGGCTTAGCATGGCCCATACAAAGCTTTGGGTGTGGTCCACATGGTCCCTCAAAAAAATTTCACCAAATTCTCATATGTACCACACATCTCGCAGCGTGGCAAATATAACCAATTACAGTATGGCTTTTAAGGGGGCCTGAATGCTTACAAAGATTGGAAATATACAAAGGAGGGAGTCAGAAAACAATGGTTTGCCTTTTTAAATATTTCTCTTTTTCTCTTTTTCAGGTATTTTCCTTTTTCAAAAAAATGCTTCATCTTTCTCTTATTTCCTTTATCAATTCAATTCATTTTATTGTTTTGACTATCGGTGTTAACAAATCAGATAAACCTGCACAAAGTGGCCAAACGTTAAAAAAAACATTATAATGTTCAAAAATCAGTAAAAACATTAAAACAGCGTTATTATAGCAACATTCCTAAATCCATTAAGGTCAGAAGTCCATGTCCCTGGGGACATGGCAAAGAGTGTAATTTAGATGTTGGGGCTTGGATTGCCCCACTGTACAAAATCTAGATTCCAAGTCTGGGATGCAACTGCTAGATGGATAGACCAACACAATGTACTGTGCCTTTTTTCCATATGGTATTGGCCACATGCTTTTACCTTAATTAATTGGCTGCAATTTTAAGCATAGTTATTTAGAAAAACCCTAGTAAAATATCTGACACACCTAATTGAGGCTAGATTTCAACCCCTTTGCAACATTCTGTTAAAAATAAAACAAAAAACAGGCCCCTCCATTTTTCCAAGACTAACTCTACACCCTATCTTTATGACAGGAGTGTCTTTTGGAATCCAACGTGAAGATGGATCTGGGCCACTCACTGATGATAATATCAGTGTTTCATTGCAGTTCTGGTCCTTGTCCTTTAATAGAGTCTACACTAATTCCTCAGAGTGGGGAGTGAAGCCTCTTCTTTCTTCACAGTAATGAAATCAGTTCAAGTCTCTCAATAGGCATAGGCATCCTCAGACTCAATAACATCTAATATTACATTTTAGCTATATCATTCTGCTAATCAGCGCATTTTTCATATACTATTTCTTAAACACTTGTTCAACTTATTTCAGAAACCTATAACAGATCCATAGGTTTTTAGAAATTATATAAGGTAAGTGGTCTGACAGACCAGAGTTTGAACAAACAAATGCAGTTTTTAATCCACCATGTTACATTTAATTGTTTCCCTTACATTGCAATTCTCTCTTGAAACCATGTCTCACATTATGGTCTCTCATCGTGCATATAAATAGCACCATGTAAATTAATATACACTTCATATAACAGTAAATAGATGAAGGGGTAAATCATACTGGTTTATATTTAATGGCATAAATAGCCTAGCTCAGGAACAAAAAAGCAGAGAGACAGAACATAAATATCTTAATTAAACCCATTCATCGAATGCATATGTAAGCTATAACAGCACATCATTCAGCATTCATGTCTTCAGAGTCGCTGCCTCCACCATCTATTAGCATCTCGCCACTACAGTCTTAGAAGCCATCATCTCAGCTAAGTCTTATCCATTGCTGCCATTAGGCTTAATCCAAACCTCTGTTGTATTACACTGGATTACTTACGGCTCCAGAGCTTTTGCAGTACTTAAATGAAGGAGGAGGGCCACAAGGAAGATCCAAGAGCCCATGTTTGCTCTGATGTAGCAAATACACCTAGGGACTGAGACTTTAAAGCTACTTTTGAAAATTGGCCCCTCCTCTTCCTTCTCCACCTATTTCTTGAAAGGTTGGTTAATGTCAGTACCAGGATTTGCATTCAGTGATTAATTTCCTTCCTCTATTGCTGCTGCTGATACTTTTTTGTAGGTTTCAGGGGTTTCCTGGTTGGCTGAGCTATTTGCTTCTCTCCCAGGTGCTTACATCAATCTGCATTCCTTCCTGAAAGGCTTGACAATTGCTGAGTATTTCAATGATTCACACCCAAATTAAGACATAGCAAATATAACAAAACCTAATGTACATGCTTGGTTGGATTAAGAGAAAAAATAGCACCATAAGGCATAACAAGCACCTTTACATTTTAATCAGTTTTTTTTTAAGTAGCAATGTCTTTTCCATCTGGGCAACTGAAGTTGCTTTATTATAATATTAAATTTGCAAAGTCTGTCTCCTGCTTTCCAAAGACACTTGAGCCAGGATTTAAAGAGATGGGCTGAATTTCTTTCTCCCTAGACATGTATCAGTTATGGTGATAATATTATTTGTAACCAGCCCCTGTAAAAGTCATAAAAGTATAAGGTCCTGATCTTCTTGAATTCTCACAATACAAAAATACTGACATACATTAGTAAACACAATACTTAAAAGGGATAATAACTGGGATTCAACTGGGATTTTTTTTTAAAAAATCCAACTATTCTACCCAAATTTGGAAAATAGCTAAATTTATGTTTTCAGAGGAAAGCAAAAGATGGATGTCACTCATGGATACTATACGCTTAGGATTAAGATCTGCAAACACTTGGGCATCGATTTCATCAACTTAACTTCTAAATATATGTGCAGCTGAATGTGTTTTATAGGGCAAAACAATATTTTTACTCTCTCTCCATCTCTTTTCACAATGAGTATATTATGATTATTCCAAACAATAAAATCACTTTTCCTCAAGTCAGCAAATTCGTAAACATGAGCTCACGTAAACAGTTCCATCTCTGAGTAATTAGAATCTCCTGAGCCCACAAGCCCTTGTCCTATATCTCAGCCTCCACCTCCTCCTCAGTCTTTCACTCCCTCAGGCATGGGAGGGAGGGTTGATAAAAGTTTGCAGTGAGAAGCAAGCTCAAGCTTATTGGCACAATGTTGAATGATGTGGAAAAAATGCATTTCTAAATCACCGGGGGAACTTACACAAACATCCAAAGCCCAGTGCAATCCTAAATGAATAAACAAATTGTTAAGTGAATGGATCATATTCTGACACCAACTTTTTCCTCACATTGTTGTTTATTGTTCAACTTAAAAGAGTTGATGACAGCAGTGGTAGAATTTGGGAGCATTTCCCAACTCACTTGGAGAGCACAGTACTGTGGGCAATTGTAGATCATGTTCATTTCTCAGTGTAAGAAAGTTCTTTTGACCGTACCAGACATTGCAGAAATGATGCATTTCTATGCTATAGTCAATATTAAAAGGTTAATTTTTAAAACAATGTTGCAACTATCTGGATTCTGTAGGGAAGAACTGAATATTACCTTGCAACCTTAAAAAGATCATGTGCTAACAAGCTAAAAAAAATGATTCACTGAAGGACTTTACTTCATCACCCTTCTAAATTAAACTTACATAACTTAAGAAAATGTTATTTTAATCTGGTTTGTTCCCTGCAAACACTATGTTTGGATTATGATGGATCTCTTTACTAGGAAAAGCGCTGGAAACATTCTATAGGAAAACAGTGAAGAAAGGAATCTACTTAATCTACTAGGAAGACTCTAGTGACTTACAGCTGATTAACTCTCAGCAATAACAGTAATAAAATTATCCCCCACCCATCCTAAATTGTAATTTTTAGCTAAAGATGTGGGAGTGGACTTGGAATGGAGGACTGCTGACTCTTTTGAATTATAGTACTGAGAGCAAAATTCGGGAGTCAGAATTAGTTAATCTGAGATCTATAGATATCCCAATTCTGAATTATACCCATCCTTGCTCTAGAAGAATGTAAAAAAGAAGTTATTTCTGCAGAACTTGGGTTCCCTGAAGGCTGCTGATACTTCCTTGTACATGAGTCTCTTGTATAGATACATAAGCAACAACACTCATGCCTGGACATTGGTAGCAGAAAAAATGACTGACCTGCATGGGGTTTCAAATACATAATCCTTCTTTCTCTGTCCTCTCGCATATTTCCTAGGTCAAGCTTAAAGTAACAAAGGATTGCTTAAATTTCTGTGGAAGACATGAAATGGGGGATACATGAATAACCCCTCTGGAGATCTGTATGTAGTAAGAGATAGTGATTATAGCAAGTATTGCCAGTTTTGTATCTTGATTGACCTGTGGGCTTTCATGGCCTCCTAGCAGTGGCTTATTGGCTTATTTATATAATATCTACTATATAGATGTCAACAAATGATAAGAGACTAACAGGGGGTCTTTTCTTGCTGGCTATGTCAGCACTTCCAACTATTCAATTCTTAAAGAAGGAGAGTACATGAATGGGGACATGTAACTGCCCTTAAGATTTATAGGTATCATAATAGCCAAGATTTTCCTGCCTTGATTCAAAGAGATTTCTGTTGCAGTATGATCTAAGTGACAATTTCCTGTACTCCTAGAAGGAATTTTGGAAAACCAGATAATTTGGGTATGAGAGAGTTGGAAGGAGGAGTTAATTGTGTCTGTCCAGTGATGTTTCAGAGGAGCCACATATGTTCACATGTATAAGGTTACCCACACTCATTACTTTACCTGACCCACCCAATACTCTTGCCAAACATATATTTACCCCCACACCCCAGATCTCCGCATCATGAATAGAGTCACTGGAAGCCTTGCAGCTCCCCTTTTCATTCCAGCCTGCTTTAGATCACTGGGCTCCTATGCCAATTGAGCCCCACAAAACAATTGATCTTCTCTCCTGGGAATGCAAATGATGACATCTAGATTCCCCATAATATTTTTGAATACAGGGCAATTGTACAAGAAATACTTCATCTGAAAGCATCATCTGCTCTTGTTCTGGGAAAAGAAAAAAGGCACAAAGGCCTACCTAAAAATTATTATTGGCTCTCAATTCCAACTGTATTTTGTTGAATTCTTACAGTATAAGCAAATTTAATGTTAGTAGGCAAGAGCAAAACCAAGAATTATAATTTTAGCTTTGAGTGAAATACATCCAGCCTTCTCTACCAAATCTTTGAGTGGATCATGAAAGTGGAGATTAGCTTCTCCAATTTACTCTGGACAAAGCATAAATACTTGGCTGGTCTTTGTGTACATGCCCTTTTTGCAGCAATCAGGTGGAATCTCGTACAAAGCAAATTAAAACATTATTCACATGATACAAGAAATATTTTTAGCGTTTCAAGTGAGTTGTGCATGCTGTAGTTTCACTCCAGAAGCAATTTTTCAGCCCTTTTCTAGAGCAATATTTCTTAAAGTGTGGTCCCCCAAGACCCTCCCAGGGGTCCATCAAAATTATTTGCCAGCCTATGTTGGAAAATAATACAGTATTAAAATCCCATCAAACAATCGTGAGCAGTGGTAGCAGCAGTGAATGTGTCCATTTTAATTTTTAATATGGTAAATATTGATAAATACAGCCCATACAAACAAAAGCTCTTTTGGGGTCCTTCATAATTTTTAAACGTGGGAAGGCATCCTGAGAGAAAAAAGTTTAAGAAACACTGCTGTGGAATATCTTCTCAGATTCCATTTGCAATAAAACATATCCCTTAACATTAAGAGTTTTGAGAAACAAGAATATAGCAATCATTATGATGATTGCATTGTTGCTGATCATTGTAATTTTCAGACAATTGTTCAGTACAAGTATGAGGCAGTTAATAAACAGCAGTAAAAGGTCAGTGCACTTAACTAGCAGAGCAAGTCTTCCTGGAATTTCCTTTATGTTAACACCCAAAATTTGTATGTAAAATTTTAATTTTTGGAGTTCGTTGAATCAAAAAGAAATTATTTAACTGGTTGGATTTGTCACGTTATAGAATCTTCACTATAAAAATTGTGAAGTATCATTTTTCCTCCCTGGCTGAGGAAAAATAGATTTTTTTTTAGAATTAAATTACACGTAGATGTATTTCAAATTTCTCCTCATGTGATTCCTGGATATTTGCTAATCAAGTTTCAGCTGATAATACTCATGTGGCATTTGAAGCTTTTTTGTGTGATAGTAGCTGCACTTACAAAATGTTGTTTTATGTAAGTTATATTTCTCCATAAACAGATCTATATGAATTTAAAATGTACTACAAAAGTAATGGAAAGTTATATTTTCCTGGAAGAAATTATGTAATTTTTTCTTCTCCTTTTAGGCCTTCCTGCTGGATAATCTTCAGGATATTACTTTCTTTAATTGCTGTTAAAGAAATCCAAGGCTAAATAACAAAAGGTCCAAGGCTAAATAACAAAAAGCGTGTCCAATTTCTTAATTTCATAATAATGGGCACATTATTAACAACTTCAGTTGATACCTACAAACTTGTTCTGCAAGCTACTTAATGAAGTGAGACATTTGGCATTGCTCATGCCTCCCTTTAAACAGAAACAAATCTCCACAGAAGAGTTTAGCATGCGATTATTTCCAAGCACACAAAATGGCTTGCACAAACATAAGTAGGATGTCATCAGAGGCATTGCCACTGAGCTAGAAGTTGTTGCTTCCTTATATACAGTATGTGCTGCATTGGACTAAAGATCATGAGAGCCTTATGATAAATCTATTCTTGCACCACTAAAATAACGCTATTTGCCCAGTTTCATCTAACTCTTATGAACATGCAGTGGCTATCTCTTTTGAATGTAGATTCAGATTTTTGATAGGTGAACTCTTGTCTTTGATGAATGTGATGATGTAGGAAGGGTGGCTCAGTCATTTGTCATTTCCAGGTTACCGTCCTGTCCTGATTGGCAGATGGTTTCTGAACAGTTGGTGTTCAGATAATAGGA